GGCGAAAAATAAAGGTGAAGTAGAAGAACCCCGGCCATTCTTTTCAATGAAAAAAAATCCAATACGAGCAAATGAATTGCTTATCTGAATTCAGAAATCAATACCAGATAAATTTCCTTTCTTGTTAAAAAATAAGGATGGAAATACTAATGTTGCATCTCTTAATCAATTCTTAAGTCGTCATAAAATTACCTCATCTATATTAAGAAAAATAGGTGCCGATTATGCTTCTAGAGTACATGGAGGTAAGAATGATACTGGCTGTCAAAATTTATGACAATTGGCATGTAGGCATAAGATAGGCCATGCTTCATCAGTCAAACATTATAGTGTGATTAATGATAGACCAGTTACTCCAGCGCCTAGGTCAATTCCCCCTATGATTAAACAAGAATACGATGAAATTGAAGATATCTAGCTTGGTAGGGTGCCACTAATGTGGCATAGCTTATATGGGAGTATTTAGGCTCGAAGAGCCATTGCTTTACAATAGATTAGTAGTTATTAATCGTCAGATGCGATATCATTCTCACTCTGTAAGTCACTATCGAATAAATCATAGGTTTTAAATTTTTTTATACAATGTAATATACAATGTCCAGCTCCTTCATCAATACAACAATGATTTCTACAACAACCTAGTTTATTTAGTATATGTTTTTTACAATAACTTCCTAAATCAGGGTCATGGAATAATTTAGCACATTCCTGATATTTATTAAAATAATCTAAAAATTTACTTTTATTAAGTTTTTTTACTAATTTTTTTATGTAACGAAATTCGCTTGTTTTTTCATAATCTCTAGGTATATCATCCGAAACGAGGTACTCCACTGAAAAATTAATTCCGGCATCTTTCATTGCTTTAAAATCAAAAAGTTGATTCATATTGTATTTGTGAAAACTTGAGAATTCTATATAATAATAATAAAAATGATTGTGTAAATATCAAAACCTTGTGAGATTTCGTATCTATGATGAAGAGTAACCGCGCTTCTTTGCTCTTATCACATATGTAGCCATTTCATCATTAGACCTGTCATTAGATAATCTGGTAAAGAAGCTGAATGTGTTTGAGAATAATGGAAAAATGAATGCTATATGTGTTTAAAATTGAATATCTGAACATTAGTTATTTTTCGATTAAAGATATATAGGGCCTTACCCATTGCTTTGCAATAATATACAACTTGAAAATGGTACGTCTAAATATTTTTGATTACCAGAATTGCTAGAACAGATCTTATATTTTTTAGAAATCAATCGATCCCTCTATCCTGCTTTATTTGTCAACCACCTTTGGTATTACTGCGGTGCTCCTATTCTATGGTGACGCATTGAGTTTTTTTATAGAAAATGATTATCAGAGTGGTTGGCATGGTCGAAAGATGCCTCGAACTCTTACCCGGCAATTGATAAATTTTAAAAAGTTATGTGTGAAAAAATAGGGTCAAAGACCCATTACATAGTAATAAAGCTAACCTATTGCTTTAAAATGGTATATCTCAGATTAGAAGGTTTGAAAATCTCAGATGTATTGATTAGTATGATTCTATGCTCATGCCCAGATATACGCACTCTCATTCTTGATCGAAGTGTTAGTTTTTCTAATATACCTATTATAGAAATTACGAGATTTTGTCTGAAATTAATACACCTAAGTCTTAATTCATGTATATGCCTTACTAATCGATATATCATTGAAATTGTTTGCTCATGTCTAAAACTTAGACATCTTGAGCTTGGTAATTGTTCGATTGGTAATAAAGCTGTTGAGGAAATAGCCTGCAAATGTACTAATTTGAAATATCTTAGTTTGGAGAAATGTGTAGGGATTAGTGAAGAAGTGATGAAAAAACTTAATCCTAAAATTAGCGTGAGCAAGCCTTCGGCTAAAATCGAATATCCTGATTATTCAGATGATATATGGTCCAATTCCACAGGTCGAAATCCGTATTTCGGGTATATATCAGGGGCCAATTGGGTAGTTATCGGGATGCTGATAGGTAACTGATAGGTAACTGATATGTTCCTGATAGGTGTAATATAAATATATCAGGGATCTATCGGTCACCTAATAAAAATCAGGCACCTGATATATTTTTTAATTTTTTTTAAAAAATTTTATGCCCCCGATAAGTGTATTAAATATAACTGATATTTATTCTGGTGCCCGATTTTTGTAATATATATCGTGTACACGATTTGTTAAATATATATCGGATACACAGGTCAAAATCAAAAATATCAGATATATATTGAATGCCCAATATTTATAGTTTTTATATTGTGAATAATAAATAATATTTCTCTGTCTGGTGCCTGATATTGTTATTAATATCGAATTTCAGGTACCCAATATTTTAAAAAATCATAAATTCATAAATAGAATTATAATAAAAATTTGTAATTCCTGCGTAACTTGATAATCAGTTTTTTTAAAAAATTTTCTCTTTCTT